GGACCACCATTTCAGTTGGTATCACTGCCTTAGTCCCGTAAGTTAGGTTGAAGGGTGTCTCGCCTATTGATGTCTTGATGGTGGTCCTGTTGGCCCATAGAACGCTAGGTAGCTCATCCACCCACAAACCTTTAGCTCGAGAGAGTCAAGTTTTGAGGCCACGTAGAATGGCTCTATTGCTGACTTCAGGTTGTCCGTTAGCTTGAGGGTGCGCCACTGAGGTGAAGTTTTGTCTTATTCCCATCTGTGCACACCAATTCTGGAACTTAATGTCATCGAATTGCTTCCCATTGTCTGAGATCAATAATCTAGGTAGGTCGAACCTGTAGACTATGCTTCGCCAGAAGAAGTTCTGGACATTGCGAGCTGTTATGGTGACTGGGGGTTTGGCCTTTACGCACTTTGTGAAGTAATCTACTACCACCACCAAGAATTTTTTCTCTCCTTTTGCCAGCAGAAAGGGGCCCACCAAGTCTATGCCCCATGTGCGAATGGATATGGGTTGGTTAAGTACCTTAGATCGACGACTAGCTAGTGTAGGATGTTGGCATGCCCTTGACATTTGCCACATCGTTGAACCAGCTCGGTTGCATCTGCCTTCATGGTGGGCCAGTAGTATCCTTGTTGTAAAGCCTTCTGAGCGAGGGCCCTGCCCCCATGTGTCCGCCGCAGAGGCCTTCATGGATCTCGTGCAGGACTTGGTCTGCTTCAGCTCATCGTAGACATCGTAAATAAGGTAGTGTGAAGGATCTCCTATAGAACAGCTCGCCTACTATCACATAGCAAGCTACCTGTCATTCTATTCGCAGAGCTTCATTCCTCTTTGTCAGTAGCATTCCATGTTTCAGGTAGTTATAGATCGGGTCAATCTAGTCCGGCTCTACATCGGTTATATTGGCGACCTCCTCACCCCCATTTTTTATCGAGGGGCGAGGTAGCTCTTCTATGTAGACTGTTCGTTTTGTCGAGTCAATCGTACTTGCAAGTCTAGAAAGGCATCAACCTTTGTATTTTTCAATCTTGGAATTTGTTGGAGGTACCAAGAGTTGAAACTGGTGAGGAGTTCTCTTACTTTGGCCAAGTAGGCCGCCATGGAGGGCTCTTGGGCTTCGTAGTCCCCATTTACCTGGTTTACGACGAGCTGCGAGTCGCTACAAACTACTAGGAGTTTAGTTCCCACTTCCTTTGCTAGTGCCAAGCCAACCAATAGTGCTTCAGATTCAGCATCGTTATTTGAAGCTCAGAATTGAAACTGGAGCGCGTACTCTAGCTTTACCTCGCAAGGTCCGTAGAGTATTAACCCAGCTTTGCTTCCACCCTGGTTAGACAAACCATCAACATGAAGTATTCAGGGCTCCTCATCCCAGCCTACTATCTCACGAGCTAGAGGTGGTGCCACACTGGATGAAGCTTCCGCTTTGGGTTCTGCCATCATAGGGGGTGGCGAGCTGAAAGTACACTCAACAATGAAGTCTGCTAGGACCTGCGCTTTTATTGCTAGTTGCGGTTTGTACCGGGTGTCATACTCACTGAGCTCTATTGACCATTTTGTCAACCTGTCCGAGACCTCAAGTTTCTAGAGACTTGCCTTAGTGGTCGATCGATTAGGACACTAATGGTGTGGGCTTGAAAATATGGTCTTAGCATTCGGGTGGCTAGCACCAATGCAAAGGCGAGATTCTCTATGTCGGGGTACCTTGTTTTTGCCGCGTGTAGGACTCTGCTTACATAGTATATGGTTCGCTGTGTTTTATCCACTTCTCTTACGTAACTAACCACAACATCACTCGCGGAGAGGTAGAGTTTGAGCTTGTCCCCAATCTTGGGTCTAGTCAACAGAGGAGGCGAGCTAAGGTATTGCTTTAGCTCGTCAAAGGCTAGCTAACACTCATCAATCTACTTGAAGGCCTGGTTTTTCTTTATAGCCTTGAAGAAGGAAAGGCACTTCCCAACCGATTTGAACATAAATCGGTTCAAAGCTGTTACCCGTCCAGTTAGTCTCTGGGTCTCCTTAACCAAGCTAGGTGGTCTCATGTCTAAGATAGCCTGAATTTTATTGGGATTCACCTCTATACCATGCGTGCTGACGATGTAACCCAAGAACTTACCCGATGTCACACCAAAAGCACACTTGTTCGGGTTCAACTTCAAATTATTCTTTCTCAAAACATTAAACACAAGGTCTAAATCAAAAATCAAATTCTTTGAAAAAAGAGTCTTTACAACCATGTCATCTACGTAACATTCTACTTTATCACCAATTAAATCGAAAAAAAAAAACAGAATTAACGAGTCGTTGGAAGGTCACCCCAGCATTTTTCAGACCAAAGGGCATGACCTTGTAACAATACAAGCTTATTTCAGTAATAAAAGCAGCATTCTCCTGGTCTTCTGGATCCATCAGGATCTGGTTATATAGCTTGAATAAGCGTCCATGAAGTTGAACAACTCATATCCCAAGGTCGCATACACCAAGCGGTCTATGCTAGGTAAGGGAAAGTTGTCTTTTGAACAAGCTCGATTCAAGTCTGTATATTCTCACCCTGCCAACTGGCGAACTAGTTCGTCATTGAATCTTACTAGTGGAATATTTGTATGCTGTAAGTCAGCTATGCTGAGCTCTGTTCTCTTGAAAGCTTCTATAAACAAAATATCCACCGAGCTACCGGAGTCCACTAGAATCCTTTTTACCCCTGAAGTCATTTATCAGTAGTTTTACCACCAGGGCATCATCGTGTGGGTATTGAATCCCACACATATCATCCTTAGTGAAGTAGATTAATTCCTCTTTCTGGGGGCGCTTGGACGGATTGTCATCTTCTTGTTCCAACTCTTGGGCTGGCAACTTGCTTCTTCGGCGTGGCGAGCTGCTGCGCCTACTTCTTGGTGATTTGCTCCTTCTGGGAGACTTGCTCCTTTCTGTTTGTACTTGTCTCTTCTTTAGTTCGCTTCCTCTTTCCATTCTGGTCAGACTTCGACCCCACTACTTCTTCTGCCTTGATGAATTGGTGGGCCACATCAAGAAACACGTCCATGGTAGCTGGTGGGTGTAGCTCAAGTTCCCATTTCAGCTTGCGATGTTTCACTCCCTTCTTTGCTGCTATAAGTTGTACAGCAAGATCCAGGTTTGGGATCTGTAGACGCTCCATGTTGAACTTCCTGATGTATTCCCTGAGTATTTCATTCAACTTCTGGACGACGTTAAACAAGCAGGTTGCCGATTTGTAGTGTCTCTTGCTAGTGACACACAGGTCCCAATTTTTTATGGAACCAGGAGTTAATCTGGAGTACTAGAGCTAGACTTCTTTTAGTGTTATGGGGAATGCTATACACATGATGGCGTCGTTTGTTCCATGAAGGAGCATGAGGGCCTAAAAGTTGTTCGCATGCTCCACCGGATCTGTCTTACCTCTGTAGGACTCCAAAGCCAAGGCCAAGTCAGGGGCCAATGGGGTTTCTCGCATCAATCAGGGTGGTTCAAAGAGGGAAACAATCCTACTGGTAGCCACGTTGTTTTCCCCATGTTGGGCTATACTACTTGCGGGGGCGAGCTAAATCTTCCTTCCGGCACGATGCATGCACTTCTTGTGCTTCTTGGTACCTTCGATCGATCTGGCAACATCGGTCCCGGCAGGAACCTCAACTCGACTTTTTGCTGGGACTTGATCATTTCGAGTTGTAGCATGAGCATGGTCTCGATCGTCAACCCTATCAGGGACCTGAACCTTGCCACGTATTCGTGGGCGAGGTGGGTCTTCACAGTTCAAGCCGTTGTTCTAATGAGGTATCTGCTGGCTGTTCCTAGGTACTTCGGGGTTGTTGCGTGACATTTGCTAACTGTTAAGTGGTTGCTACTAACTGTTACGCAGTACCTATTGTCTGTCCCACGACATTTGTTGGCTATTCCACGACACTTGCTAAGTGGGCACTTGAGGATGTCGTTGTTGTTGATATTGCCATTGCTACTACTATTGTCCAATAATGAAGATGAATTTGTTCTCCCAGGACCTAAGTTGTTCAGTCATGGTCTGTACACATCGTACTAGGTCGTTGAATTGCTGTACATCGACTTCCGTGGGGGTTGTAGTGTAAATAGCCATGGAAGGCACATTTATGTTGCCTTGAGATTCGATTGGAGGTAGGGGAACGTCGATCTGGCCTATCATGACGATGGGAATTTGGCCATTGACATTGTTATTAGCAAAAGGGTTATTGGAAGAGGCCATGGATAAGTTTTCAAAAAATAATGAAACTCTAGCTTTTTGTTGTGTTTCCCACAAACAGTGCCAATTGATAATGCACAATCTGCTCGCTCCCTCGTGTCCTGTGACTGAACTCAAATAAGGATCTGATCTAGCAATGCCGAGGTGCACAACCAAGCTGGCATCTGTACATCCGAGCTAAAAAAGTGTTAGTGCTCAAAGAGATTTTACCGAAAAAAACACTCCAATGCTTTAAGTCAATATGGGGTTTTTTGTGAGAATGTGTGAGTGCTTCAGTGCTTCAGTGCTTCAGTGCACATACCCCTTTTGAGTGGATTTGATGCTCTTTTATAGTTATCTGAGGTTCAAGTGTCATTAGGCAACGCCTCCGAGTCTCCTGCAGAGCTGTTTCCATAATTAAAGGCATGCTGGCATACCAATTGCTAGATTCGCACAGCGGTTACTAGTCGCCTACGGGTTTTGTGGCACACTTTTCGTCGAATTGTTCCTATGGCCACAGCAACAGTACGGAGGTGTGGCACACAGAATGGTTTAGGCGAACTTGTATTGATGGCAGCCCGTATTTGCCCCAAATCGGCTGCTCACCTGATGTTGGGTGCCACGTATTGACTTATCGAGCTGTCCTACTAAATTGAACGTTATGTTGTCAACAGCGTCCACATGCCGGTGATTGTGCGAGGTCACCAAAATGCCCCTCATCACTAACTATCACCGCCATAAGGATAACCATGAGTTAATTTCACAGGGAACTACAATACAATGCAGTACTCAAAGCCCTTGCGCAACATGCCAACATCATTTGACAGTGATGTTTTACTGCACCTGTAAGACACTGAGATCACTACTACATCCTCCAAAACAGAAACCCTTCAATCAAAAAAATACCAACTGATTTACAGCAATTAAAACAAGAGATACCCAATTAACCATTAAATATCATTATAAGGGGGCAAATTGATGCTATTATAGGGCAATATACCCCTTTGAGTAGCTTATATGTTTAGTTTGAGGAACCAATTAATTTGTCTTCCTCCTTTGGGATGTCACTCATGGATACCTGCATGCCTGACTTAATTTTATTCCACTCATTCTCCACACGGAAGAAAATCCACTGGAAGCGTCGAAGAATCTCCAAGGCCGTGATAGTAAAAACAGTCAGGTAGTTATGGCGAAGATGGGCAGACAGCTTATATGTCCAAGTACAACGGAGGACAAGGTTGCTTCCTAGCACCCAAAAGTAAACCTGCAAAACTTAACATTTCATAATTACTTTTTGTGCACATTTAAAACTTTTCAAGGTTCAAAAAATCGTTATCGGTCGATACATATCATATCGGGCCCTTCACGGTATGCCCCTATTGGGGTTGTATTGGGTCAAGGCCTGGTTCAGACTTCAGGGGGTAACCGGGACTTAAACCGGCCCCTCTGAACCAAAATCGAAAAAAAAAAAAAGTGAAACTAAAAAAAAGGACCGATACTAGCCAATACGCCCTACCGGCATATCGCCAGTATCAATACTTTGAACCTTGTTTAAAACTACCAGAATTTCATCATAGCCAAAACCTTACCCATTGTCGTCCATACAATAGGTTTGAGCAGATATACTGTTTGCTGAACTTGAAAATCCGAGTGAAGCCACTATCAAATGAGAAGACGAGTTAGCACACAATTTTCTTTCTTTTTCTTGTTTCCAAGAAGAAATAGTAGTGCAAATAAATTTGCACTTGTACAAATGCATGAGAGTGCAAATGTAAAAAGTGCAAATTATTGTTTAATTTTGTTTTGGATTTTACTTTATTCTGTTTCATGTCTTAATTTACTATTGCAATCAAACAAAATAAGCTAAAATTTGAAACAGAAAGTCAGATTTACACTCAAATCATTTGCACTGTGCAAATTTATTTGCATTGCAACCAATCACAGCCTAAACTACATAATAAATTATTTTAGAAGCCAAGCGAAAATATTTTAATACTAGCACAAGGTTGTCATCTTTTCATATGGTGCAATGAACAAGTACTCAAAACAGGAGAAATTGTCAGGTTATATTTGATAAGAAAAGAAATTCATGTATACCTCAAGTCCCAATCACGGGCCACATCCCAGTAAAATGAGTAGAGCGAATTTACAACACTTGAAAGAAGCCAAAGGGGGCGAAAAATATTTGTCCACCTATCAGGGAGGACGTGATATTTAAGGGCTGAGAGAAAAATCACTGGGACAGCCGTTGAATATTTTAAAGCTGAAAAGCATATATACAAGTAAGGTTACCAAAACAGTCATTAGGACAAAAATGCAATATATATGGAAGACCAACTAGTTAATCAAATGGGCATACAAGACCAACAAGTTAATCAAAAACAGAGTTTGTACATGCAACAGAAGAACCGTTGTTCAACACACTAAATAGGGAAGCTCCTATACAACCTCACCTATCTCTGCCATGTGGAAGAATTTTGTAGCCAAACATAGAAATATCCATAATATAGAGGGACCTCCTAACCGGTTGCATTAACTCCCCTATTCAAAATAAAAGCAGCATAAGTTTTTTTTTTACTCTCCCCCTCCCTCATGTGAGCAGAAGTTTTTTTCCCTCCCTCATGTGTGTGTGTGTACAGCCAGTAAAAGTTGTGCCCAACTAATGAATACCTATCCAAATGATAAGATTTTATTTAAAAGAAGCATAAAAGAAGATTTATATTGCATAATGCAAGAACACAGACTCTTTCTGAGAAACAAAGTTGCCATGGCGAAGTTTCCAAGTTGTCTAGGGTTCCCCCATTAAACAACGGAGTAGGAAATCCACTCCTTACATATACAGAAATTACCTAAAATATCACTTTACTAACAACGTCTAAAACATCCTCCCACTTTTATGCACCTCCAACAGGCCCCTGTTATAGAAGACTAAGGCAGTAATCATTACCCATTTGTTCAATCCGGTTAAGGGTGACCCTAAGTCAATCCATTACAATTGGATCAAATATGGAGATACCCCAATTTGATCTAATTTTCTTATATGCATCTTGCATCAATAAAGCAGGTTGGAATGTTTTGTTTGACTCAAGAATCATGCATTCAAGTTCCAAACAAATTATTTTCAATTCATTTTTTCATGATATACAAAATTGAAGTTATCTTTAGTTCATTTTTATTAAGAGTCAGTTGACTAATCAGGAGTAATCTAGTCTTTCACTCTTTCTACCTTATTTTATATTCATTATGTTGTTACAGGTCTGTCCAAGTTTAATTAACCACACCCACACTTACATAGGGAAAGTTTAGTCTTTGTATGATATTAAGATAAGTAATAGATCTGGCTGACTGGGAAGGTTGATTATTCCCTCCCATTCTTCTATTCCATTTGTTTCCCTCCTCCCTCTTTTCTATTACTCTCTCTTCACTCTCCTTCATTTCTAGAAGCAACCGTATACCATTCACATTGTATTAAAGAACTAAGAAGGAACATACGGAGGCTGTAATCCTATTTCAACACCTTTTAAAAATTTTTTGCATTTTTTATTTTTTTGAACCTAGCAACTGGGTTGGGGGCTCCACCCCCGAACCCTGATCATGCCCCTCGAGGCAAGCCTAAACAAGCCCATCTTAATAAAATATCTTCTTAAAAGGCAATTAAAAACATACAATCATTATTTTTTGTGTGAAAATTAAGAATTTTAAGAGCCTAACATGGGCTTGTTTGGGCTTGCCTCGAGGGGTGTGGCACAAAGGCAGCTCGTGGAATCAGGAATCTAATATGTTTTACATCACATTAGCTATTTTAAGTAATGCAATTGAGGAAAAAAAAGAGATTGTGGGTTTTACATTAGCTATTTCAATACACTTTACATGTTATGTTTATGTATTTTAATTTTAGATAATAAGTTTTTTTTAAATTTTATTATAAAATTTATGTTTATATTTTATTAATATTATGTTTAATATTTTTTATGTTTTTTTTTTAATTTTTGGCATTTTTTTGAATGTTCTAACATTTTTTTATTTTCTAGCATTTTTTTGCATTTTTGCACCATGCTTCAAAGAGGTGCGTGCCTCGCCTTGTGCCTTGGACACAAATTGGCCCCTGTGCCTTTCTACGCTTTGCGCTTTTAAAACACTATTCCAATGATAGTCTCACTATTTCGTCTTCTTTGAGTTCCAAAAATGATTTACAAGTGTATCAAAGGCACAAAATAATTGTTCCTGTTGAAATAATTGATTTTATGTTTGTTAGGGTCTGTTTGGCTGATTAAAGCCTTTTTTATTTTAATCTATTATTGTACCATCACTTAGTAGGGACACAAGGGTCATTTCCCTTCTTATTTTTTCGCCTATATATTATAATGAAGTTGGCGCTGCCAACGCTATTCCATTGTCTCGATCCTTCTTTCTTCCTTCTCTTCTCTTCTCTCCTCTTCTCTTCTCTTCTCTTTTGTTGTATTCTCCAATCAGTTTTACTGTCAAGATGGTATCAAAGTGTGGCCATCAGGGCAATCAAGTGTCTTCTCCAAGCTGCTGAATATGGGCGGAACAAAGGAGTACATCTGGGTTGATCGAATCAGACCTGAAACAGGTACGGCCCCTTTTTTTTTTCTTTTCTTCTCTTCCGTTGGTCGTGTACCAAGAGGAAAATGAATGCACCAGAACCACTGAATGTCGGCACACCCTTGTGAGGTTTCTCTGTTTGTTTTGGATCGCGTGATCCTGTACCTGCGAAAGGTTGCTATAGATCACGTATGACCTGTTTTCTCTACTTGTTGGCTTGATGCCTTGTGTGTAAGGATCTCCTCTTGTGATTATTGCTTGTATACCTTATTAGAAAACTAGTAGGCTAGGACTGCTACTCCGTACAGGTCTGAAAATCAGATCTGTCATCTTGTTTTTTCTAGAAATTGATGCTGGCCTTGTGCTCAGATTAACTCCAAAAACTGCAGTGTGGGTGGACTAATCACTTGTTGTGTGTGGAGCTTTTTGTTCTAATATAAGGAGGGATCCTAAGTTTGAAGCTTTTCGATAAAAAAATTGTGTTGACCATGTCTTCTTGTTAGACAGTGTATGCCCTTAGCTCCAATCAGAATGAGGTACATTATGACATTTAATGTAAATGAATAAAGTACATATTTGGCTCATGTTATTATGTTGTGTTTCTTTGTAATACCCTTAAACTGGACACATATGAGACTCGTGTTAGTTTAGAATCGTCACAGTCGTTGGATAGATCTGAGGAGATTTATCTTACCAAGGCAGACACTGATGTGCCGCCAAGTTGGCTGGGGTAGCTTGTCTTAGCTGCCAGGATGAGACCTGAGGTACATGCAGTGTGGGTTTTCTTGAAACCCTGAACCGGACCAAAATTTCAGTATTGCCCTGGACCTTGGAGATAGATGGGCAAAACTGGAATGTTACACCTGACCCCTAAACTCGATTATGATACTACACTAGGTGTCGGATTGGGTTGTCCTTGATATGCCAATCAGTTAGATCCTTAGAGGGGGTCAAAACCTGGGTATGTTGGGACAGTCCGAGAATTCATCTGAGTGGGTGATCATAGTGATAGGATCAGCCCCTTTGTCGGACAAAGTGAATGATCGGGGATGCACTCTCTCTGATGGAAACCAAAACTACCGATAGTCGATTTCAAAATGTTTGCAAAAGGT